GATATCGAAATTCTTTCCCTTGATTTTAACATACTTTACATACATATTTAGAAAAAAACCTTTACTTGAATGGCCACTTAATCATGTCAAAAACAATTTGATTTCTTGAAAAAGCCCGCCTGATAAAACCATTCATACTTCGTAAAAATTTAAAATGGAACTGGGAATGAAACTTTTTTTTTTTTGACATATTGGGTTTTAAAAATCCTGTAGATATCTTCTAAATGAAGATCAACTGAAAATCAAGCATAATTTTTCTAAAGATTTCACTATTTTAATTAAAATATTAAAATATTGCAAGAATAAATCACAAAATATTTTGATTATGGAAGTAATAGTAGCACGTACCAAAACCAAATTTGTTAAGTATATCTTGAGCTGACCTTTAAAATGTTAGCATTTTATGTGACATAAGCCTTTATTAATTATTAAAAATTTTGTTCTTGAAAGTTCTTGCGTGCTCATCGCTTAAAATACGGTGACGGTGTACTGGAAAAGTTTTTCTAAATCATCCCCTCTACTTTTAATAAAAAATTATTTTCTACTATAGCAAAATAATTTTCATTAACTTACAAACTCACATTTATGTACAAATTGTAAACTTGTCCACCATCTCATCTCATACTTTTCTTGCTGCATTTCAAAATTCTTTTAAAAAGTATACATAAAATTTCTTGCTACCCTTTTTATAATTAAAAGACCTAAGTTTGAAAAATCTTAAAATCTGCGTATATTAATTTTTTGCTCACTTATTACTTACTAAATCAAATTAAATTTACTGTTCAAAAGTAATTGTAAAAGAAATAAATAAAGAGAAATTTTTTGTTAACGAATTTTTTTAATTTTTGTAAATGTACATATATATATACACAAATGTATATATGTATAGACCCATGTTCGTACATAATCCTGCAAATTTACATCTATATTTTTTTCTCTTTGAATATTAATTATTTAATGATTTTTTTTTCAAAGGGTCGTACCATGCCGTAACCTTCTTTTACTATATTAATTAAATTGCCAAAAAAAAAAAAAAAATCTTAAACGATTAATCAAAATATATGAGAAAAAGTTTTGGGAGAAAAAATGTAAAAAAATTTACAGTTTACTTAAAAAATTTTTTATATTTTTTTATTTAATTTAAATGATTTATTATATTTTATTAAATTTAATTAAAAATGAAAATTAAATTTTATTTTTGTTTTCAGTATTGAGAAATAATTAAATTTTCATTCAAACGGAAACACTAATTCAACATTTTGATTCTGTAATAATGAGAATAAGTTTTGATCTTTTAATTTTATTCATTTATAATTACTAATAAATAAAATATGTTATTCAAGATAAAACAGAAAGCTATTTCCGGCTGCGAAATGTCATATTTCAAATAGAATATATAAATAAATGTATATGTAAATGGACATGCATATTTAACCGACAGCGCTAAAATAATCTGCGATTCTATTTTATCGCTTAAGATTTTTCCATGTGAACAGTTGTTCAGTATATTACATTTTGCCGTTTCGATGTTGTTCTGTATTAGCAACGGAAATCGTTCGCCATTTTTGTTTTCCGTTTTGATTATGTTATTACACTGAAAAAAACTCGTAATCGAATATTTTTTGAGTGAAGAAAACTTGAAAAATGACAATACAATTACGAATTTTTTATTTTTCAGATCATAAAGTTTATACAATTATTTTAAATTTGAGAAAGCAGTTCAATTATACTCGTAAAATCAAAATAAATTTGATCTTAAACTTCAAAACTTCAATTTAAAAATGCTAATTCAACTAAATATAGTTAAAACTAAAATATGCCCAAAATAAATTTTTGCGTATTCAATTTTAAAACCTAATTAATAATCCTTGTATACAATCGTTCAGATGACAATGATCCTTAGAAGAAACGTGCTATTACAAGTAAATTACTTGTTTATCGCAATCAGAAAAATCAAAAAATTTTCTTTATATTTTTTTTTTTTTTAAATTATATGTTAAATATTAAATTCAAAAAAAAAAATAATGGAATTAAATTTTTTTTCTATATTTACGTGACAAAATTCACAAATTCAGTTTACTTTTTAAATAAAAATTAAACATCGAATTTAGCCTTAATTTTATAATTAAAATTCATAAAATATTACAAAATATTACAATAGATTTAGAATAAGACTGAACTATATGCGGTACAAATAAAGAATATGAAGACTTCGTTAAATAAGGATTCTCAAGCTCAGATTTTCAGACATTATAAGAATTTCAATGTTATTCACTTGACAATTTCATGTTACTCAAAAATAAGCTGTAATTTTTTTTTTGTTGTTACTGTAATTGTACCGATTTCACTAACATTTCACCAATTTCTACCATCTGCTATGCTTCCCAAATAGTTTTATTATACTTAGTTATTATTTTTATTATCATTCACTTCTTCTCTTCACATTTAGGAAATAAAAACTCAATTTTAAATAAAAAAATGACTACATACACATTTCTAAAAAAGCTCCAACAAGAAAAAAATTCTGTTTTAAAATCCAAAATAAAATTTACATATTTTTCACTATAAAAGATCGGAATACAAAAAGTCCCATAATTCATGTGTCGCATTCAAAAACTTTACATATTCATTGTTCAAAAAATAAAATCAACTTTTCATATAGAATAACAAAAACCATATTATTTTCGATTTGTAAAATCTTAAAGTATTATAAAGCATTTATTATGATAAAATTACAACAAAAAAAAAATATGTAAGAAATCCTTAAGAAGGATAGATAAAACAATAAACAATGAGTTTCTTGATTTTTTCATTTTACTATTTTTCTGTTTCTGTTTTTGTAAACGACCTCATTTTTCATTTTTTACTTCAGCTTCTTTCTGATATAAAAATTCTAAAGGAATAATGTTGTAACAACAACAAAAAAGAAAAAAATTCAAGTCAAGCCCCCAGATTTTAGTTTTTGAAATTTTTTTTTTCTTATTTTTGTCTTTCTATTTTGGTTTTTCTTCTCTCTTGTGTTTTCTTAATGACTAATAGCTGAAACATGATAATAATTTTACAATATTTTCAATTTAAAAGAAAAAATATAATGTGCAAAATGTAGATGAAAAAAAAAAAGAATTAAAGAAGAACAGACCCAGAACTTTAAGTTTTTCACTTAAAATTGGAATTTTTTTTTTCTCCATAATTATTTTATCTATTTTGTTTGGTGTAGTCACATAAGATGTGTAGCTGGCACTTATATTATGTGAATAATTTGTAAAGAATACACGATAACAAAACTATCACATACTTATATGACAGACATGGGGGTGGTTTTTTGAACATTAAAAGTCGAAAAAGTACAAAATCGTTTAAAATCTTAGAAAAATTCAAAAAAAAAAAAAAATTATTGCAGAATCATTTTGAAAATCAAGATATTTTATAGTATGTAGATTTTTTTAGTAAAATATTTGATACAAAACAAGGTAGTTTAGTTTTTACGAGAAAATTATAATATTTTCAATATTGTTCAACTTTATTAAATTAAAGAGATATCGAATTTTATCTCGAAAATCTCTATATATGTAAAATATAATATGCTCATTTCTACAACACATCTTATAATGCTTACTGTTTTGCATTATTAGATGTGTCGAAACTTTTTAATAATTCATTCCATCCATAGCCTTAATGAGCGAGAAAAGAAAATTGTAATAAAAGTAAGAGGAGTAAAATGGAATAATGTGCAAATAGTTCGACACATTCAAAATGGAACAGTATAAAATTCAAATTCAAAATATTTAAGATTTGACATTCCAAAAAAAAGCAGTGAAAAACTATTTGTATGCAAATTAATAGTAAATAAATGACACATTCTGAATGCTCTCTTAAAAGTAATTTGTTAAATTATGGTTTAAATCATAAGAAAATTGCTTGTAATTTCTTATATTAGAAAATTGAAAATATTCCGCTAAGTTATTCGTCTGCAGCCCCATGCCTTCTGTTGTTCTCTGTCACTCTCTTACTTTATTTTAATTTTTTTCTTAATATATTGACTCACATTTAATATTCTTTATTAATATTCTTATATCATAGTTGAATCCAAAAAAATTAATTTATACTTTAGAAGAAATACTTTATTGAAAGCAATTACAAATTGAAAATTAAACTGACAAACATTAAAATAAAACTCATAATTCTCTGTTAAGTCAATTTATTCGTTTTTTTTTTTTTACCAGTCATAACATTTGACAATTGTTTTAAATTTATTATAAATAATAATAATTATGACTTTGCAAAAAGAAACGAAAAATTACATAAAAAATTCGAAAATCTTCTTCTCATATAGTTGTGAAAATAATGACGCCCCATTCTTGATTTCATATTATTCTCTTCAGTTTACTTACAATAAATACAAATGAAACAGATTGAAAATGACAATCTGTTATGAGTATAGTCAGTGATGTTAATTGTATAAGAAAAGGAAGATAATAAAAAATTTCTCCTTTATTTTTTCACTTGTCAATCATAAAATATCCAATAGCAAAATTTGACAACTCCAAAGGTTAAAAAATTTAATTGAAATTTATTCTAGTATCCAATCGGGAATTAAAGAAAAAATTATAATTTTAAAATTTCTACTAATAATTTTAGTTTTATTTTAGAATAATTAAGGGAAAAAAGTTAATTTTTAATTTACTTATTAGTTTTACGCTGTTTGTCCATCTTTTTGTCGATTGCCATTTCTTCTACGAGTACGGATTTCAGTATAAAAAGATTAAACATTAGTTCATATGTTAAAATACATAGATCTCCAGAATTTCAACAGTTTAATTGAAATTCTGGAAAGGCTTATCAATAGAATTTGCTGGTAGTTCTTCGATTATAAGCCCTATTGAACTCCTGCAAAACAAAAATTTTAGGGTAACTGTCCTCTTGTTATGTTTCATAATTGATATAAAATAATAAATTGTATTTATGTGTTCTAATACTCTTGTTTTTTCTTGATATTGTAGATGATGAAGCACGCTTGGGATAATTATAAGTTGTATGCATGGGGTAAAAATGAACTAAGACCATTAAGTCAAAGAGCACATTCAGGTAGTATATTTGGTTCACATGAATTAGGTGCAACAATAATTGACGGCCTAGATACTCTTTTCATTATGGGAATGAATAATGAATACGAAGAAGGTAAAGATTGGATTGCAAGAAAATTCTCTCTGGATAATATTACTGCAGAATTATCTATATTTGAAACTAATATAAGATTTATTGGTGGATTATTAACTCTTTATGCTTTTACTGGGGATCAAATGTATAAAGAAAAAGCACAACATGTAGCTGATAAATTATTACCAGCTTTTCAAACTCCAACTGGAATACCATATGCATTGGTAAATACAAAAACAGGAATTAGTAAAAATTATGGTTGGGCTAGTGGTGGAAGTAGTATACTCTCTGAATTTGGAACATTACATTTGGAATTCTCATATTTAAGTGATATAACTGGAAATCCGTTATATAAAGAACGGGTACAAAATATTCGGCAAGTCCTAAAAGAAATTGAAAAGCCGAAAGGATTATATCCAAATTATTTAAATCCTAAAACTGGTAAATGGGGACAACGTAAGTTTTAAAAATAAAATAAAAATAATAAATGTATACAAATTAAATAATATAAAATTTTAGAACACATGTCTTTGGGTGCATTAGGAGATAGTTTTTATGAATATTTGCTTAAAGCTTGGATACAATCTGGGCAAACAGATGAAGAAGCAAGACAGATGTATGATGATGCAATGAAAGCTATTGTAGAAAAAATGGTTCGAACAAGTAACTCCGGCTTAATATATGTTTCTGATTTAAAATTTGATAGATTGGAACATAAAATGGATCATTTGGCTTGTTTTGCAGGTTAATTTTTTTTTTTTTTTATAAAATATACTATGTTCTTGAAGAAAAATTATTAATTTTTGTTAAACTATTTTAGGTGGTCTTTTTGCTATGGGTGCAAATTCAAGACAAAATGATAATACAGAAAAATTTTGGGAAGTTGGCAAAGGTTTAACAAATACTTGTCATGAAAGTTATGATAGAACGCCTACAAAACTTGGGCCGGAAGCATTTAGGTAATTTTTTAATTATTAAATTAAAGTTTGCCCCTTTCAAACAATGTTAATACTTTATGTCTAAAATTTTTTCAAAATGCTAGCAAAAACTAATTATTTCCTTTCATTTTCTAAATTTCTTGACTATTGCTTTTAAAATGCTATGTGTAATATTTATATAAAATTTCTTTTTTATATTTTATTCAGTTATTATAAAATTTTTTTTAAATAGATTTACAGATGCAATAGAAGCTAGAGCGCTTAAAGCACAAGAAAAGTATTATATTCTGCGACCGGAAACATACGAAAGTTACTTTATATTATGGCGTTTAACCCATGATCAAAAATATAGAGATTGGGGATGGGAAGCTATTCAAGCATTGGAAAAACATTGTAGAACTCCTCACGGTTACTGTGGTTTGAAAAATGTTTATATGGAGGATCCTCAAAAGGACGATGTACAGCAAAGTTTCTTTTTAGCTGAATCTCTAAAAGTATGTTTATAATTTTAATCAATATTTTTTTAATTTTACAATAGATTCCATTGGATAGAAATGCAGTTTTTAATTAATTTTCTTTTTTTTTTTTCTTACAATTGCAGTACTTATATCTTCTTTTTTCTGATGATTCATTATTGTCTTTAGACGAATGGGTTTTCAATACAGAAGCACATCCGTTACCTATCAAAGGAGCAAACATATTATATAGACAAGCTTCAACACCATCAACAGCGCCCTAAGGAATTTTAAATACATTTCATCATCTCATTCAATCTAAATATTTTAACTGGTTTTTATTTTTCTTTTCTTCTATAATTCTTGCATATTTAATTATTGTACACCCAGGAGATAATTACAATTAAGAATTTGATATTTTATATTAAAAAAAAAAAGTACATAGATTAAATAAATAATTTTCTGATTGCAAGTCAATATTTTTAATATAAATTTACATTCTTACCATTCTATTGATGAAACAGCAATCTATTATTAAATAATAGTAAAATCCAATCGAATATTATTTTTGTTTATAGTTTTTCGTTTGTAACTTAAAATAATTAAGAAAACTTTAAAAAATGGGTGATTTATACTTGGTTTCTTTTTAAAAGTTTTTAGCAGTTTGATAATATAAATTAAAATTAAATAATGGTTATTAATACATGCATTATACACTTTTATATTTTAACTTAAGAGAGAAAGAATTTTTCATCTATAATATTTTGGTAATTTCAGAAAAGAAAATTTCAAAAGAACAAATTTTATTATAAATGTAATTGGCAAATTATATGTTAATATCAATATGCTTGACGACATATACTGACGACATTTTTTTATATATTTGATATCAATAATAATATTATGGTAAACTTGTAATTCCAATATAGTTCAATGTTTAAATTAATTTGGTACGGTCAGTCGAATCTTTTTTTAAGTGTAAATATAAAAAATTGTATAATGTTTGTAGTGTGTATTAAAGCATGAATTCTTTTTGTTTCCACAAAACGACTAAATAAATTTTTCTAAATTATAAAATTATTTAAAAAAAAATATCTATTTTATTGTAATTTAAATGTTTTAAATTTATATTTATATATTTTAATTTGAAACTAAAAACAAATTTATATCACACGATGCATAACGGCAGTAAATTGCAAATTATATTCATATAATATTAAAAAAATTACTTAGATTTCTGCGAACTATAATTAGTTAACTACAATCGTAGATTAGATTAAACAGTTAATTGATTTTACATAAAAATTTAAATCAAATGAAAAAATTTAAGTTACGCATTTTAAGCTTTTCAAAAGTTTTTTAGCCTAAGATTAGTGTTATTCCTGTCACTAATTTAAAGAAAATTTAAAAATTATACAACAAAAATTTATGTAAATAAAAAAAAACAAAATGCAATAAAATTTTTATTGTAATAAATACATACAAAATTTTTATATAATAAAATTTTTTGTCAAATTTAATCACATTGCAAAAATTTATTTTAAATGCATATAAGAGATAAATGAAAAAAATTTTGCTAGTATTAAATTTCATTTAAATATTAAATTTTTTGATACAGCTAGTATCCCAGATCTTGATAATCTTGATAATTCTAGCCATTTATAATATCAAAAATCTTTATTTTTTTTTTTCAGTTAAAAATTTTCTTGTAAAGTGAAAGAATGTAAAATGAAATTTGGCTTTAAATATGCTTTTTAAAATTTGACTTTCATCAACCAAAAAGTTTTGTAAGAAATAAACAATTAAAATTTATAAACAGCATACATGACAAATATGTATGTATAAAAAAAAATAAATATCTTATAACACTATATAAAAGAATGGTAAATAAGCTTTTCGATCAATATTTATGTTTCCGAACATCAATTATTTAAGAAAACTAAATTTTGATATTAATTGAATAAATTTTTTTTTGTTTTATACATTCAAGAGTAAAAAATAATTACATTTTTAAATTATCGAAATTGTAAGTATTTTAATTGAAATTCAGGAACTTTGTTGATGCGATTAAGATCATTGAATCAACAGAAGTTTATTAAATTTAAGATTTTCTTTCAGATGATCAAATGTTAATTATTGCAAAACTCTTGAATGAATATTAACAAAAATATGAATTCTCAAATTTTTGATGAAATCAATTTTTTTACATAATTATTATTTATAATTTCTATTTTTTTTTTTTTCTATATTTTTGTTATAAAATTATAAATTGATAGAGGGAATTACTTTGTAACAAATAAAGTTAATTGAACACTTTATATAAAATATTTTAAATCATAAACACTTATTTTTTTTTTTTTTTGTATTTTTATTGAATGTAACTGACACATTCTGTGAATGAATTAATTTTTTTAACGTAATATTAAACATTAAATTTAAAATTGTAAACACGCCTTAAATATAGGATTACCTTAAATTATTAATTTTATAATCATATAATATTAATATTATTATTACAAAAGTACATTTACGAAAAATAAAGTAATGTTATTTAATAATACTAGTAATTTAATTATTGAAAAAAAAATGATTACATTAAATTGTAAATTAAGTGAAAACAACTTAAATAATTTGTAAAAAAAAAAAAAAAAAAAAAAAATAAGAAATTGTAGATAAATTTACATATTATTAAGTAAAAACACAGAATAGAAAAATTTTAAATATTCGATAATTGTGTAAATAAAAAATTTGATGTTATTTTTATTTTATTTCTTATTGAAATTGATTTTTAGTTCTTACGAAAAACACCCATACAGATCATTTGTACACGAGAATCTTATATTTTAATTACAAATTTAATAATGCATAATAAAACGTTTTTTTTTTTTCGTTTTCACTTTTCACCAAATAAATAGTTTCTCTAAAGTTGTAAGCTTTCTGTATTGCAATTTGTATAACTAAGGTCCTTCCATTCGAAATCCATTAACTTTAAAAATGAACTACATCCACATACAATACATATATATATATATATATATATATACATGCGTTTGTGTGTTTATACGGTTTAGAATGCTTAATATAAAAAATGCTTAATGTAAAGTTCGAAATTTCTATAAAAGGCGTCAAATAGTCATGCTCAGAATGCGATCAACATCGGGAAAACAGAGGTATGAACGTATAAAAAAGAAAAATTATAAAAATGTATTTATTCTTGTGTATTTAATTACTCTAAAATTTGTCTGCTTAATATTCAAATTCCTACATTTTATTGTGTCTAAGCAATAAAATTTATTACTAATAAAAAAAAATTACATTTTAGATTGTCGATGCATACATAACCTAAGTATGTATATCTAATAGAACTATCGATAATGTACATACAAACATAATATTATCTTCTTGTTAGTAGCAGCTGTTAATTTTTCATATGTACACATTATATATAAACAAATTTATTAAAAGAAAAAGAAAGTTTAATCTACAAGAGCTCTCTTCATTAGAATTTCAGGTACACGTAAAGAATATTAGATAAAATTTCGCTCAAAAATTGCACAACACGGTTAACATAATTTTGGAGGCCATTTTAAATGTTTATGGACAATGTTTGAAATACTAACGCTTTAAAACTAATTGTTTTCAAAACTTTGATGAACGAAAGAGAAATACAATTAAAGCAAATAAAGCAATTACATATTCATTTTTATAATTAATTAAATTTTTACCCAGCTAAAATATAACAATGCATAAATCTGATTAAAAAAAAACATTTCGGAAAATGCTGCTGCTAAAAATATCGCGCAATTAACTTATTATACATACGAAAAAAGATGATTATTTTCAATGAAAGTTCAAACATCGCACATAAAATTTATGCAAAAAGTGTATGTTTAAATGTACATACATACATATATTGTTCGTTCAACACACATGCTAATGGCAAATATGTTTCTAAATTTTTTAAACTGAAATGAAAACCGATCAAGCAGAATTTAATTTCAATGAGCCAGAAAAAACTTAGGAAATTACGTATAAAATGATTGCATTAAAAAAACAACCTAAAAAATATGTTTTTCATTATCATTCGTTTTGATGAATTCTAAATTGAAAATAGGTATACAACTATGTTAACTTCTTACCCTTACAAGTTCTTATCTTAATTTCAGAAAATGAAACAGTTTTGTCATTTATTACCTATAATTAATAGCATACATTTGTGTCAAAATTCATTTAAGAACTTATAGGGTCTTTTAATTTATATAAAATTGTATTAATTAAATGAGTATTCCTTTTTATTTTAAATAAAGAATTTATTTATTTTATACATATGTACGTGTAATTCATAGAAATTAATAAAAGAAGGATTTCATCTCATTAATAAAGTACCAAAACAAAGTATCTGCTAGAGATAAACGTTCTTCCTCTTTTTCGAATTTGTTTATTTTTTATACATTTCATTTAGAAATTCTGATTTAAGTCAACGTTTCACTCTCCTCCACTTTATCTTTTATCTCTAAATCCGGCATCACCTTAATTTTTTCGTCTGTGGGTGTAGCGCTTTCAGTTATATCGTCAAAAAGAAACATTAATTCCTCTTTAGAATATGATTTAGTTAGCTCCTTGAATTTCTCAACTTGCTCATTAAAATATTCAAAAAATTGTTTATCTTCCTTGCAATCTGGAAATAATGGCCTGAAAGAATCATATATATTTTTGCACAAATCCCTTATTATTTGGGCTTTTTTTTCAAAATTTTCTTTAACTTCGCCAGTTAACTTCCATTCATGATCGTTACCTACATAGCGACGCATTTTTTTAATTACTTCTACTATTTCAGGGACCTTTTTTAGCATTATTGGTGTAAATTTGAATGATTTTTGCAAATTAGTTAATAATTCTATGCATTTATCTAAATCAGTATCGTTAAAATGTAAGCCAAGAGAACACTTAATGTCACAGATTGTTTTTTGTAAATCCATTTCTTCTTCAACTAATTTTCTTTTTTCAGCAAGGATAATGGGATCTGTAGGAATCAGATTCCTAGTATTTGTTAACGCCGATTTTTGAGCCATTTCCATTTTGCTTTCCAAAACATGCTCTTGCGTTGGTGTAGCAATTTTTCGATGCTTGGATTGTGGTTGTTCATTATCATCATCAATATATCTAAAATTTGTACGAAATAATCATTATTGGGAAAATATATCATCAGCATTTTTTACCTTTTGGGCTTTATTTTTCGACCACTTCTACTTGTAATTTCATGTCCTTCTTTATCTTTAATCGTATTTGGAGACATAACACTCATCGAACTATCTATATCGTCAAGTTTATTTACTACCACAGAGGTTTCCATTTTAAGTTGTTCAATATGATCTTTATTATCATTCACATTTTCCTTTTGTTTAGTTATATCTTCTTTATTTCCTGTGGGACTTCCAGATTCCAAATTATCCACTTTAATAGGAGCAGAGTCTTCCCCATTTAAAGCTGCTTCAATTTGCTCTATAGCTTCACGAAAATTTGCTCGTTTCAAATTTTTATCTGTAGCAAATTTTTCTTTACTTTCCGTGTAGTGGAAAATATCTTCTATTTTTATATTCGCTGTTTCACCTGAATCAATTCATAAGAAATATTAGTTTGCACTCCATAGGCCTAACTTATAATTCACTTACCCGTGCCATAAAAGTACACATTGAACTTTTTGCTAGGAAGCAATTTCATTACTTTTGCAGGCCAAGCAGGATAACCTAAAGGTTAAGATTAAAATTGTTTCAAAATTGGAAAATTATTTTGAATTTTGTTTCTTTTTTAAAATTTTTGCACTATCTCAAATTTAAAAACACAAGTTTATTAAAATTCTTTGACAAACAAGACTGTGCTTCATTATTGGAAATTCATTTTTTTACCTTTAACTTTTGCAAACACTAAGTCATCGACTTGGAATGTCTTGTCCTTTTTACCCATTGCTAATTTCTAAACGTCTTTTAATGTATTATTTAACTTCCTCGATCCAAATAATTCTTAACAATTTCTTAAAAACAAAGCATTTACCGCTTTTTAAATAGAGCGTCGTCTAGTAAACCTTAGTTGCAATGCAATTTACTGCTTATTTATCAGTTCACTTTGTAGCTCTGTAGTTTTTACACTGACAGTCTCAGAACAAAATTGACAATTCTAGTTTTCCTTCAATGATTTCGTACCGACTTGCCTTTGCATTATATTCTTTATTATTCACATATTAACCCCTAGGCAAATTATTTTAAAATTTTAATTCATTATGGTATAAGAGATATTTGATTCATTGAAATTTATTATTATAATTTTGTGAAAATACGAATATATCAATTTAAACTTGCAATGAATTTTAAATGAAATGAATAGAACACTTTTAGCATACAACACGAATTAATTATTGTGTTTGGAAATGATTTTTGCATGGAAATTTCAAATTTTGACATTCCTTTTATTTTTAATGCAAACTTTTTCACTCTCAAAACTTAAATGAAATTCTATTTTAATGTGCAGGTTTTTATCACGTCGTCAATTTTATTATTAGTTCACATTTTGTGAAACTACAATTATTCGCTCAATTTATTTCAGACGACTTAGCGACCACTCATTACTCATGAGTAGGAAAACTGCGCTAAACCACTAAATATTTCCACTAAAAACCGTATAATGAGTGAATTCACCTTAACTTAACTACGAATTTGATAAGTTTATCTTCTCAATATTATTAATTATTGAAAAGTAATGTAATTTACATACATATTTTTATGTTATAGATATATCACTTTGTAGTTACTTAAAAATATTTATTTATTCAATTTAATTTTGACATTTGAAATATATATGTGCTGCAATGATCTGCGGAAAAAATCTTGACTTCAGATTGGAGGCAAAGAAAAAACATATTGTGCCGTTCAATTACAAATAATGTTCATTTTATTTTTCTTAGGGAAATCCTCATACAATTGACAATACACCTATCGACGTATATTTTTGAGGTTAAGTTAGTTTATTTTTATTGAGTTTAAAATGTATTTTACTTATACAAATTCAATTTGGAGGAACTTGAAAAATTTTATACATGAAAATTCCGTGATAAGAAGAAAATTTTCTTCAGAAGTGAAACAGGAAGTTAAGTTTGATAATTTCATAGAATTTAGAAGAGCGCAAGCATCGCGAAGTATACTTGTTCAAGTACAATCTGAAAATTCCTATGTGGATCTATGCAACTATTGCAGCAAATTTGGAGACATAATTGGAGCTCACCACTATGAACTCAAAGACAATTCGAATTACATATTGATTGAATATAAAACACTTGAATCAATTAAAGAAGTATTAGATTCCGCACATTACAATTTGGAATCCACGGGAATACCTGCATATTCACCGTTGTTGTGGTTCAAGGCAGCCGGAGTTGTAAAAGGCAATTCTGTGAAACTTTTAAATGACTCAAACAAAAAGGGAATCCTAAAAATTAGCAATGGTCTTTACCAAACTAGAGAAGCAGATGTTATGGAACTAATACTTTCAGCTGAAAATGTCTCTGATCAAATAAAAACATTACATGAATTAACCAAACTGAATGATTTAGAGATACGACTACGCTTTTTGGCAGCCAAACAAATTGAAAATTCAATATCAGGGATATTCCCAAAAGCTTCAGCCCTTCCTTTTGGATCTTCAGTTAATGGATTTGGAAAAATGGGATGTGACCTAGATTTAGTCTTGCGTTTCAATCAAGGCATTGTAAAAGATAATATCAATTCCAGACTCGTTTTTCATACAAAAGAAAATTTAACTAATGAGAGATCCCAAGTTCAAAAACAAATGGAATGTATTAGCGATATTTTGCAAATATTTTTACCTGGAATAACAAGTGTACGAAGAATACTACAAGCAAGAGTGCCTATAATAAAATTCCATCACTTGCTGTTAAACTTAGATGTAGACCTCACAATGAGCAATATGTCAGGTGTTTACATGTCTGAGCTCTTGTATATCCTTGGTGAAATAGATCATCGGATTCGCTCTTTAATTTTTGTAATAAGAAAGTGGGCACAAAGTGTTGGATTAACAAACCCTTCACCAGGCCGTTGGATAACAAATTTCTCATTATCTTGCCTAGCAATTTTTTTCTTACAAAACGTGAAGCATCCTTTGCTGCCCCCAATCGATTTGCTAAACAAATCTGCAACAATTAATGACATTCGTATAACTGAAAATGGACTTAATTGTACATTCTTAAGAGATCACAGTATTCTGGATTTTAGAACTGAAAACAATAGCGAATTAAGTGAGTTATTGCTACAATTTTTCGAGTTTTTTTCCCAATTTGATTTTAGTAATAAAGCTATATCAATGAACAAAGGATCTGCGATTATAAAACCAGACCACTCATCAATTTACATAGTCAATCCTTTAGAACCAAATTTAAATATATCAAAAAATATTAGCCTAGAAGAATGTGAAAGGTTTCGAATCGAAGTTAGAAATGCGGCATGGATATTAGATAATGAGATTGAAAACGCAAAATCGAATTCCAAAAGTACTACAAAACTTTGGGGAATCGCTAATTTATTCAAAACTAGCCAAGAAACGGTTATTAAACCGAATTTCTTTTTCAAACCCCGAATGGTTGAAATAAAGAATTTATTTGATGACAAAGACGAAGAAAAAGTTATTAGTGATGAAAATGATCATTTAAATATAAAAGAAAGTGTAAAAACGTTAGAAACAAATTTAACTAAAAAATTTAAAATTAACAAAACCAGTGATAGGTAATAGTTAGGAAGTTATGTAAAACATTATAGCGTAATATTTAAAAAAACCAAAAACTGTAAATTACAAAGTTTATGCTAAAGAAATAAATGATTTTCCAATTTTTATTCAAATAAACAATAGTAGTAGGTACCTAAAAACTAATTACGTTATAATTAAATGAAATTATGCGACTTGATGTGCGTTGCATAACCGGCCCTTTGGGCAAAAGCTCTCCCGCATATTTCACATACGTGCTTCTTTTCTCCAGTATGCAATTTTTTGTGTTCAGTAAGTCCTCCACGTTTAGCGAACCTTGCCAGGCACATATCACATTCATGTGGTTTTTCTCCAGTATGAGTATATTTATGTTCTCTTAATTGTCTTGGTAACACGAAGGCTTTTTCGCACTGATCGCATTTATGGGGACGGTCTTTCTTATCCATATGTTTTTGTTTTTTATGCAAACTTAATTTGTGCTGAAACCATTAACGTAAATTTTAAATCAAAATAATTGAATGAAGCAAAATAACCTACCTGGAAAGCAAAATGTTCCCCGCACTGTTCACACTGATAAGGCTTTTCACCCGTGTGAATACGCTCGTGCCAAACTCGTTGCCGATCTTTTTTAAATCCCTTTTCACAATTTGGCCAAGTACATATAAAAGGTCTTTCATCAGAATGACATGTAGATTTGTGATGATTTAAGTTTCCACGAGTTGTAAACGCATTTGAACATATTGGACACGCAAACGGTTTCTCTAATATAAAATTATGTTAAAAATTTGATCATTTTGGGACATTTTTAATATGACATACCTCCAGTATGCGACCTCAAATGCTGTTGATATTTTGCTTTTTGGTTTTCAAATAATTTTCCGCAATACTCGCATATTTGAATTTTCTTATGACGTTCTTCATGTTTTTCAAGATTAATCAATTTTTGAAAAACTTTGGGGCAATAGCTGCATTTCTTTAATTTATCTTTTCCATTAACAAATTTTTCATGAGCATAGTTCATATGGATCTCGTAATTTTTTCTTGACGAAAATTTTTTAGAACAAAATTCGCAAAAATTACATTTCCCTTTACTGTCCTTTTTGTGCTTTTCCAATAAACTTTCATTACTGAAATTCCTGCAGCAATGTTTGCAGTTATATATTTGAGGTATTTCCAAATAACTACTTGTATTCTCACTGATTCCTTTTTCGAATGTGTGATTTTCTTGCAAATTTAAAACTTTTTCGTCGTCTGTATTTAACATTAAATGAGGTTGTTTTAGTTCAGACTCCTCTAAAGAGTGAGTTTTGTTAATGAAATTTCTCTGTTTGGAAGAATTCGCGAATTTAGTCTGATAATTTTCTTTATAAGTTTTCAAGTTATCTTCATTCGTAAAATTCTTTTCATAAATACCACACGTCCCATTAATTTTATTATAAATAGATTTTTTGTTAATATTTTCATCTACCAGCTTAGAAATCATAGGAATTGATTGTATTTCTTCTAAGGGTTCAATTTCACTTTTGAGAAATTCAAAACTGCTTTCGTGACTTCGGAGGCTTTTACAAGACTCTTTAAATTTTTCGTTATTCCCACTAAGATTTAAAGTATCTTCTTCTCCAACTTGACATTCTTCACTCATACTTCTTTGAAACATATCTGTTTTATTATCTTTATATTCGGATAATTCACTTAAGTATCCCAGCTCTAAGTGATCAACTAAAATATGGTTCGAAAAAACTACAATACTTTCAAAATCACGATGGCACATAAGGCAAAGGCAAGAAATTATTCCACTTTTAGTAACAAAGATTTCTCCGCACTTAGCTTTTGATTCAACTACAATTTCTAATTTGCAATTTAATCCATTTTTTATTTCAATATGATCCATTTTTATTTGTTTTCTTTTTTTTCCATACACAATTTTGTATTAAATAAACTGAAATGACAGTTCTTTAAAAACAAACCAGAGGTGGATTATTATAGACGTACTAGGCAGAGAAAAATTCAAGGGCAATCTAGACGGGTGTTAAATGATATTTGCCAAAATGACACAGAAAACCTATTGTTTTTTAAATTTTTTTTTAAAAATTAATTTCAACAAAGAAACATGCTATTTTAGCATGTTTCCAAAGCATATTTTAAATTGATTAAAGCATATTTTAAATTAAATTGTTTTAAGAAAATATTTTAAAATTAAAAAAAAAATAAATAAAAATTGTTTGTTTTGTGCAAATGTAATGAAATTAAATAAAATAAATGACTGAAATTCGAAAACTTAAAATAAATATTTTCCAAAACATAATACCCTAACAACAATTACGGCTACGAGTACTAGTTTTACACAAGTGCATTAATACGTTAACGCATACCGAAATTGATACACGCATATCTCTATCTTTTTGTTAACAAAAAAAAAATAAACCTTACATGTAAAAAACAAGCATTACTACATAATGGCAAGCAACAAAAACAAGGAAAAATAAAACAAATGTATAACAAAAGATTTTTGTGCGCTTTGTCATTTAAGTTTTCACATTTGGGTTGGGCCTTAAATGTCAACCCTTATGATTTGTTTTAATGGTGTGACGTTAAAGGACGTAATGATGACTTTGTAGGAAATGACCGTCAACCATATCAAATGAAGCAAATAATTATATTAAGCTTAATTACAAAAGGCACTAAGATACAATTAAGAGGCGTAAGACACAATTACAAGAGGCACTAAGCTCATAGGATTGCATTATTTATTGCAATTTAATAAATTATATATCAAATTTTTTTAATAATTACACATATAAAAATATTTCTACGCATATGCAAATCAATTGAAAAAAATTCGTTTCAGATATAAAAGTACTTATTGCAGTAATGTATCATCAATTAATTAATGTATATACCAGTGGGGTTCATATCATAAAATATAAGCAAACTCATTTACATGAAATGTAGAACTTTAAATATTTAAAAAAAAGTCATAAGAATTAAATTGAACGGCTATATCTATGAGGCTGAACGGTTAAGCTCTAGACTAGTATTTTGCCATTTTGAGTGTTGCGTCGATTTGTTATTTGCAATATATATATGTGGTTTTTTTGTGTACATTTAAAATAACGATTTTTATAACGCTCAAAATCAAATATTTTACATGCCAAATGTCAAAATTGGCATGTAAAATATTTATTATTCACTCCACCCCCATTTATTTTGTAAAATCAACATTCAACAGAAAAATCAAAAATAAGCAAATGCTAATGCTGTTTGCTTGCTTGTTGTTAGTTATAGTTTGTGTTTTAAATTAGTCCTAGTTTATAAAAAACAATAGGAAATTTAATATTAAGTGTACATTTTCTTTAGCGATATGGAGGTGGTTTTAAATTCACACATAGCTTTATTAGTTCTGGGTAATTTTCCTAGATTTTTATATGCTACAATAAAATTTTTACATACTATGTCTTAGGGTATTTATATGAAGAAAAGCTAGATCACGTCTCCAAATATTTTTGCAAATATAGCCCGCATCTTGAAGAAGAATACCAAATTCTTAAAAAAGGATTACGGCCGGTTATGATCAATAGTGACAATCTATCAACCATTGTAAGAGAGCACTGCTACATCAAATCAAAAGGTTTAATTTTTTATTTTGAAAAGTATTATAATGTAAACAAGTCCCCGGCTGTGTATTAAAATGGCGTACATTTAATTTAATAATAACAATTTTTGTTAATGCTCTATGTTTTAATACATAATTATTCGCGATATACATACTCATATACATTAAGCCGTTGTCTTTCTTACTTAATATTTTTTATTGATTAGTGTTAAGTTTATAAATTTTTTTTAGTAAATGAAATAATATCAACATTTCCAAGCAATGTGAAATCCGCCTTTGAGAGGCAAACTTTAACAGGTAAAATAAACCATTTGTTAAAAATAATTAAAAAAACAACAGGCTCATCTGATGAAGAAAATAAATTGAAGAGAAACAGATCAGAAGCCAGTATAAGTTCAAGTGAAAGAAGTACAAACACAACACAAATAGAGGATTTGCCTGGATATTATCAATCCAAACGAAGACGTATTGAAGATTCCTATATGTTTGTCCGAAATGATTTTTCTGAAGGATCCGAAAGCGAAGAAGATAGCTTTGATAATGAAATTAATGTTCAAGTAAATTAAATCAAATGTTTATCATATTCATATAACTTTGTTCTAATTTAATTCCAGTCGGCTTTTACCGATAAAATATTGGAAGACAAAAATTTTCAATCACGACTTCTGGAAAATATCAATACAGTATTAAAAAATGGACCAAATGATAAAAATAAAAAGCAAAATCAATCAGGAATAGATTCTGTACAAAACAACCAATGTGATTATCATCTTGACGAAATGATACAAGATATTATGTCCGTTACAGAGAAGGATCCCTCTTTTGAGGAATTTGTTCAAGATGTTATGGGTAAACTTGCTTCAGGTAATGTAATATAATAAAGAACTACAATTTTATTTCACAGCCAATAATTACGGGGAAGGCATTAAAAAAACTTCAAACGGATTACTGAAAACTGCAAATAAAGGAGTTCAAATGTCTCCAAATAGTGAAAATAATTTAGTTGTCGAAGAAATAAAGCAAAACTCAGGTTTGGACAAACCTTCGGAACAAGTATCAGGTAATAATTTGTAGTATTTCAAATAATATTTAATTATGAAATTTTAACAATTTGAATTTAATTTCTAGTAAATATATTTAATGCTGGAGAAGTAGCAAGTGGCATAGAAAGGAATTCTCCAGCCACAAAATTATTAGTTCTTAATTCGACAGACTTTGTTTCAGCAAATATTCAATCACTAGGTTCGTTTACAACTGATCATCTTTTTTTGGATATCAATGGGGGAACACAACAGTTTCCAATTTTAACCGGTAATGACGGTACTATGTATATTAACAGTAACAGTGTACAATATGACACAAGACCGCCTGGAAATTTTGTAATAGTCAACCCAAATCAAAAAAACTACGAAGCTTCTCAATTATTCATTGGTTCACCTAATATTGAGGAATGCAATAACATAGTTCAAGGAAAAGTCGAAGGAGATTTAAAAGAAAATAATGCAATAAATCAGGAATCAGCATCTGGTGATAACGTTATAATGGATGATAACACCTATTTAAAAGATGTTGCGTCATTAGACTGTAAATTATTAAAAGAAAAGAAAACTCCCGAGTGCAACATGAATTCTTTAAATATATCAATAAGTAAAAGCCTTTCCACACCTCGTAGAAAAAGTTCTCATGTAAGGGTTCTTAATTTTTCGCCTTTAAAAATAATTAACAAAAAATCTGAGTTTCAAAACTTGTTAGCTGATGGGAAACCTTTGGATAAAAATGAAGAAAAATCTGACACAGTCTTAAATCTGCATCAAAAAGTAGTTGGTGCATCCAATCTCATTGTTGAAAATGAATCGTCCAATGGTACAGATATAACTGGCGAACACAGTAATATAACAGTAATTAAAAAACCGGTGAATGAGGATACCCCCAAACGTAAAACTTGTGCATTGTCTTGCAAAAGAAATTTATCTCACTCTAATAGTGAAGAAACAACAGAAAAAATTAATAAAATACCTAAAAAGCAAATAAACAAAACCATCACAGGAACAATTAAAGCTAAAAACAGTAAGACTGAATTCAAAAAGTTGGAAAAAGTTCCCCAAAGTGTTATTACACGACAAACCAGGAAAACCAAATCAAATCAGAGCCCTTTGAAAAAAAATGCCTTAGAAACTACTAATAAAGTGGATCCCGCAGAGGAATGGAAGCAAATGAGGGAAAGATCTAAAAATTCAAACTTTGATCAATTCTTAAGAGAAGTTCATTCAAAAACTCCTTCAGCGGGTAAAGTATAAAATCTTAAAGCATAAGTATATTTGGAGTGCACATTTTAATTGTTTGACTTTTATTTTAACAGAAAATATTGCATTTCACTATCAAGTGAATCGTAGTATTAGAAATCCATAAATTATCTGTTTGTTTAATTTTAGATGCTCATATTCAAAAAAGAAGAAAATTAAGACGAAAAATTGGCCTAAAATCAAAAAAAAACGTTGAACACTCAACGGAAAATAATGAAATTAATGAACCGTGTGAAAATGTTCTTACACAAAACTCGAGTGAAAACAAGGTCAAATGTGGTGTGAATAAAAAAATTGTCAGCAGTGCTAAAAAAATAGTACAGGAAAAAAAACCTAAGAATATTGAGCCTAAAACGAATTTTTTGAATTTTCGTATAAAAACTCCCATAAAAGATTCTTCAAGTGATTTAAGTAAAAAGGTCAATAACTGCATTTCAAAATCAAAATGTGAACAAAAAAAGTGTACTACAAAAAACGCACAAAATTCTAATCTGCAAGATAATTCCAAAGGTTCCGAAAGGCCAATTAATCGACAGGAAAAAGTAAGCAATTGCGAGAAAAATATATTTGAATTAAAAAAATCTAAAGACACAGTGGAGAGCTATGAAAACAATCAAAAAAGGGAAATGTGTAAGGAAGTTGATAATGATCAAGATTCAAGTAAAGAAAAAGAAAGACGAACGGCAAATATTGCACATATACTCGACACGCCTTTCAAATCAGATGATATTAGCTTATTACCACCAACTCCTGGTATAATGTTATCAAGTAATTTAGCACTAAACACTGCTATAACTCCAATAACCAAGATACCGTTTTCCTCATTTTGCAACATGAAATATACTGAAATCAAAACGCCCGCTTTTGCGATAACACCGGGCGGACGTTTCTGTTATTCAACAGATAAGGAGACACCCAAAAGTGGTATTGTGACGGATTATTCTTCAGGTAAAAATATATTTATTAGTAACATAATATTTCGATTTAATCCAATATCGTTATTTAGGCGGCTCATATTACAAACCAGATGATTCTGCAGATTTAATAAAAAAATTAGACCGGGAATTAAATGGAAAACTCGATCAACGAAAAGACAAGTTTGAAAAAGAAGACAATAAATTGTCGCTTGACATTGAAAAAGTTCATACAAAGGAAAATAATCAATTGCCAATATTAGAAAAACAATTAGAAATTTCGACAAACGTAAACCAATCTCCCAATTCTATAATTCCCGATAATGTACCTGGTCAGTTTGAATTAAATGGAGTGGAATCAATTCCTGAAGAAGGTCCTAAAATAAATTCGTACAACAAATTTGAAGAAGCCGGACTACCAGATATTACAGACGAATCTTCTACATCGTCATCCTCAGAGAGCAGCTCTTCAGATTCTTCAGAATCATCATCAGCGAAAACTTCTTTAACTGTAAATAATTTCCCACAGCAAAGCACACAGCCATTATCACTATTATCAAACATTGATTCATCTGAAGATGATAATTGGGAAATTCAGTCAATATCTAAAACCAAAACTTCACAAGGAGAGAAGTCTGAGCTAGTTACCAGCAGCGGAATGAGGTTTAATGTTAGAAGAAAGATAACGCCAAAGAAAATAAAAAGAAAATCTGATCAGAATTTCATTTTGAAAGAAATTATTTCAAAACAAAAAATTTTAAATAAACCTTTTTCAAGCAAAGTGGAGAAAAAAAAAATTGAGTTACAGAAGAAACCAGGAAGAGGAAAGTTATTGAATCGAAACTTGAAATCAGATATAAAGACTACACCGCCAAAAAAAGAAAATAAAATTTTGACGAAAATAAGCAATAAAAAACAAAATTCCAAAATTGAGTCACATGATTTAAGTCCAGAAAAAACTGGAGTAAATGAAAATAAATTAGATGTTTTGACAGCGCTTAATTTATCTGCCAAGAAAAGGGACATAGCTACAAATGATCTTTGTACCAAAGGATTCAAGGATGAAAAGCAAAACGGATCTACATCGGTTGAAGATAATGTTTCTTCTGATTTATTTATTCTTCGAATGGAAGAGGAGTCAGTTTCTAATGATTCTTCTGAAGTAAGAAATGCAGCTTTAACGTTAGCAAAAATGAAATCCAAAAAATTAGATATTGAAACAAAGACAAAGAGCTCAGTCACAATTGAAAATAAAAATATTGTAAATGAAAATAGTCAAAAACCAAGTGAAAACTTTAGTTTGGGAACTGAAATTAAAAAAACAGGTATTTATAAAAATATTATTATGATATAAAAAATAATAGTATAAAAATATTTCAGAGCCGTATTTGAAAAAAACGGATTGTACAAACGTGAATGATAGAATTGGAAGAGAATGCACTTCTTACGATTTCGCAAGTAAAAAGTGTGATACATTAAAAGTTGAAGAAAAAAAACTTGAGTCACAATGCAGTGCAGATCACAATACTCCGGCAGACTTGAAAAATTTAAACACAAGCGAAACTGTTTTAAAACCCAAATCCCCGACACAGCATGCATCCAAAAACATTTCCACCTTAAACGAAAGTAAATTAAATAGTAATTCAGGAAACGAAAATATTTCTAGTAATGTAACTATTCAATCAAACAAAGAAAATATTTCGATAGAAGAAAATGTAGTTAATGAAAAGGCAACTAATGAAAATGAATATAAATCAAAAACCCCGACATCAAACGATTTTGAATCAGAATCGGAAAGTGAAGACGCCTATGATGAATGCGAACCTAAATTTTCTGAAAAATGTGATGAATTTGTAAAACATTTCAATTATGACGAGGATATGATAGATTCATCTTGTAACGTACCCGAGAAGCTTGATTTTGTAAAATCATCTATTAAAATTACAATTAATAATCAAATTCGTAAAATTACTTGCAGCGAAGAATTTAATTTGTTTCATTTAAAACCAAATAATGAAAAAGAGAGGAGTTTTAAACCAGATTGTGACAAAAAATTTATTAAGTCCAGTAAATTAAAAAAAGAAGACTGTAAAATAAAATCAACCACAGAAAATCCAGAAGAACCCACTCTTAATGAAAATAAAAGTTCCACTCCATTTTTGGGCAAAATTAAAATTACTCATAGAAACAAGTTTAGCAATATAGAAGTGTCCCGAAAAAAACATTCACATGTTGATAAAAAATGTTCGCCTGAGAGGTGAGGTGGTAAAATTTGTATTATATTACATTTAATTTTAGTTACTAAATTATTTATATATGTATGATTTTATGTATAATATTGTATATGAACATGTACAAATGCGTATATTTCAGCACCAGTTCCGAGTTAAAAAAAGTTGTTATTAGCGATAATAATGGTGAAGCAGCCAAGATTAATCAAGAGTCTTCATCAAAGAAAAATATAAGAAGTGAAGATATAAATGCAGTTTTATCTCATTTGTACGGAAATGGGAAATAGATTTTATACAATTTGATATTGGAATAAATTAAGTTTTTGCTAATTGTCTGTTTAAAAAAATTATTAAATATTTACATATATTTTTTGTTTAAAAATATGCTCTACGAATAATGAGCCTGAAAATGCCGAAATTAATACAAAAACTTGTTCCATTAATACAAAAAGATAATAAATGTATTTTATAATAAAAATTTAAAAATAATTTTATATGATTAAAGAAGTCCGAAACTTTTATTTATGTTATTTTTTAATTTGTCTCATTAAATTACTGAACTTTTTTAAAACGCTGATGGCTAGAAGATTAAATTTGATGGACAGAATTAAAACATGTACATAGGTATATTCTCTTAAATACGGCTCTTAAATATGTATATTTTTTAAAATGTTATCAAAATTTTAATGAATAAAATAAAAACATCGTGGTCATTAATGGGATATTCGGTTGTCAAAAAAACAGAAATACAAATTTAGATAGATTTACAAATTTGCTTTATATTTGTATGTTTATGAATTTCATAGTAAAGCCATAGGTATCGTATATCTGGGTGTTTCAATTGATTATTAGAAGTTTTATGACATTATTAGGCAACTCTTTTTCGAAATTGTAAGTGACATCGTATTTGACACGAAAATGACATTCAATTTTATTGACTTACTTACTGCATCGATATTGCATATCTAAAAAGTGAAAACATTTAATTTTAATAGCTATTTTGTTGTTTTAAGTGCGATTTTCAACAAAGAAACTATTGTTTGGGAAATTTGGAATTCAGTAAAATTGAAGTTTGTTTATTGAAATTCAAAAAAACCACTGGGATTTCGATATGGCTGACATAAAATCCATGGAGCATGCAACATTAAAGGTAAATAAAACAGTAAAAAATTCTAGAATATCAATTTATTGTTTGAGTTTTCACAGGTTCCATACGAAATTCTCAATAAAAAGTTTCGAATTGCACAGAAAACATTGGATCGTGAAGTAAATCAAATTCAAAATGCTGCAAGTGAAATGGAAAAAAGTTTATGTGCAGGAGTTTCATGTAGTGAAATTCAAAAAATATTTGATGGTGTTGTGGAACGTCTTCAAGTGTTTAAAAGAAAAGCCGAAGAAAACATTAACGAAGAAATTTCTGCAACACATATATGTAAACGAAAACTCAATCATTTAAAAGAAAATATCTCTACAGATTTAAAATCAAGTTACGAAGTCTGGCAGGCTTCCTTGGATCAATGGAAAAAAATAAGAATGGATCGAATGGTTGTTGAACATTTGCTTAGACAAGGTCATTATAAAACAGCAGAACTTTTAGCAGCTCGTACAACCATTCGCCATTTGACAAATTTAGATATATTTCAAACATCAAGGGAGGTTGAGGAAGATTTAGCTAATCATAAAACTTCCAAATGCACTTTATGGTGTAATGACAATAAGTCCAAACTCCGAAAAATCAACTCGAAAATCGAATTTCAACTTCGAGTTCAAGAATTTATAGAGTTGGTTCGAGAAGACAAACGAAAAGATGCTGTTAAGCATGCAAGAAAATATTTTCCTTCCTTTGAAAAGGATCATTTGAAAGAAATTTGCCAAGTAATGGCCATATTGGCTTTTCAATCAGATACCCAATTAGAACCTTATAAAAGTCTTTTCGATCCAGTACGTTGGGATAATTTAGTTTTAAGTTTTAGAAATGAAAATTATCGATTGTATCAACTTTCAAGTCAATCTTTATTGAGTGTGACCCTTCAAACAGGTTTATCAGCTTTGAAAACTCCACAATGTTATTCTACAGGTTCTAAAAACTACAATTGTCCAGTTTGCCAAACTGATTTCAATATAATTGCGAATAATTTACCATACTCACATTGCGCTCAAAGTCGCCTCATTTGCCGTGTGACAGGATTACCTTTAAACGAACATAATCTTCCCATGATGTTACCTAATGGGCAAATATTTGGTCAATTGGCTATACCTCAAATAACTAAAGAAGATGGTATAGTAGTTTGTCCAATAACAAAACAGGTCTGGTGTGATCCAAAAATCGAAAAAGTTTTTGTCATGTAAATTTTAACTGGTCCTCTAAACATTTCTATTTATAAGAACGTTTGATTAAATTTTTAATCATTATTTCTTTAAAAATGTAATAAAAATATTGTAGTTTTTTTTTTAAATAAAGCAAATAAAAATAATTTTTTCTTGAAATTCTATAATAAAGTTTTTGTCAATAATTAAAGGTATTTATACATTTATGATTAAGACTTGAGAATGTACACATTACCAAAAGGTATTTATACATTCTTAAATCTTTATCATAAAAAATATGTATACATACATACTTTCATTCAGATTGTTAGTTGAAGAAGTGCTGAAGACATATTTGTTAATATTTATTTATAAAAAGAATACGTTTTTGGATACTTCATTTCTTATTTCATATAAAATACATACAAAGAAATAAACTAATTCAAATTTTTGCAATGTATACACTTAGTATAATAATGAACATAATATTATTTACGTACATAAGTATGTACACAATAAATACTTTACATGGATTCTTTGAAATAATTAAAAAAATTTGTGGGTATATTCGATAATGCAGTGTTTGTATTAGTTTTAACATACTATTGTAAAAACTTTGAACCCTGTAAAATAATACACAGTAGTAAAATTAAAACAGTTGAACCATTTTATATTACTAAACAATTCCAGCTTGCAGCTTTCAAACATATTGTGACATTATATCTGCACTTTGAAACCAACGTGCAGCACATATTTAATTAATATGTAATTATTATTAAACCGCAAATTTAGTATGCTCTAAGTTAGTTCTGAATTATATATTAAAAACATTATGCTTTAGTTTATTCTTGTACATCAACAGTCAGTAAATTTTGTGAATTATTGGTAAATATTTACTATGTGAGTAGGAGTATGAGCCACTTGAGTTTCTTACATTACCTACTTACAAGAATAAATGACATTTTCAACTGACTTAATTGATTCTGTTGTTTTGACAAATAATAAATTTCTTCGCAATTTTATATCTAATATTATCTATGATCAAGTTCTTAAAATTTTTTCAAATTTTAATAGCCGCAATCGAATATTTGTTTTTCTTGCAACCAGAATAATGGGCCATATTTTGATATTGAATGCTGTACATACTCAGTTTTTTTCATTTAAAGTGAATATTAATATTCATACGGGTATATGATATGCAATCCATTATTGTATTACCTATATCTGTAAAGATTGACATTACCTAGAAACTTTCAACAATTAGTATGAAATTATGGAATGCAAATAATAACATAAATGTTTTGCAAAGACAATATAATTTTAATATTTTTAAATAAGACAAAAACTGAATTTATATATTTTAAATATTTTTTAATATGATTCGATTTCGATTTTCACATTTATCTACAAAAGTTATTTTTATAATTACTATAACTTATGAAATAAATAGTTATTTAATACAAACTTTATTAAATTTTTTTTTTTCTTAAACTAGATTTTTTAATTTTGTTATATTTAAGTTTTATTAGCTTTGTCTAAAATTTTTAAACAGTATATAATTGTACGTAAGCTATTGTTTTTTTTTTTTTACATTTACATATCTAAAGTTAATATATTTACATATAATTGTATATACAACTTAACGTACATGTCAACAAAAAAAAAATATTTCTTTAAATAAATTTTATTTACAGTGAAAAGTGTTATTTGAAATATTAGATTTTCCTAACATTTTCGCTCAATTTTTGTTTTTTTTTTTTTAATGTATAGTTAAAGTTTAAGTTTAATCCACGTTTCAATACGCTTTATACTTATGTATATTAATTTTGGCAGATGATTTTACTAAAATCCCGATGAATTTTTTTTTTTTCAATTTAATTGGTTCAAGTTTAATTCGAAAGAAAAATCATTTATGGATTAAAAAAATGATTTTACTTCTATTAAAATATCGAACATAAATTTCAAAACCATTAATAAAGTTTATAAAACAAAAAAAAAAAACAAAAGGAAAATGAATATACTCCTATAGCAAATTTTCAATACAAAAACAAAAAAATAAAATTTTATAAAACTTTTAAAAATAAAGAAAAAATTTCATTTCAATTTAACAACCATATTTCAAATACTGAATAAATACTATACAAGTGACGAATCTGTAAGTTTTATAAGTGAAAACAAATAGCAATTAATTTAAAGCTACGCAAAATAAAAAATAAAATGTACGCGTAATTGAAATTTTTCTTGTTTTTTGATAATTAGAAATATGTTTGTTGAAAAAGTTTCTTGAAAATAAAAAAAACATAAAATATTTAGTTCTTAAATCCATTTTTTTTTTTTTTTTTTTTAGTACATAATATGAATTTTGTCTTCATGAAAAACGTAATAAATAAAAATAAATTAACTATGTATAGATAGTCCTTCTTTCATGGATCTATATGTAATGAGTAAATATAAAAAGTAAATTATACAAATATTAAAGTATTCAATATGTTCTAATATGAATTTCCAAAAAAAAAAAAAAAAATAATAATTTTTGATTCTTTAATTATTGAAAAAATATTTTTCATTTGATTGATTTATTTCTAAAAGAAGAAATTTGAGATATCTAACGTGCATGCATATAATAATAATTATATATTTAATATTATATTATTATACATATAATAATACGCATATTTAAGTTGCAGTCCAAACAAAATTCCAAGTTGAATAGCAATTTAATTTAAACTTCAATAATATTGTTGATAATAAACATTTGTGTATTCAAAGGATATTATGTTTTTTGTTACAAAAAGGGTTTTATTTTCATTGAAATCCTTATTGCAATTTTTGAAAAAAAAATTACGGAAAACAAAATTCTTTAATAATTAAAGTTATTATATGTGCGCATTATGTTAAAATTTCGGTTGAATACAAAATGCGATATGTACTTTTCTTAAAATTAAAAATTGTTTAGCTTTTTTTTTTTTATCCTAAAAATTTTGTATTTAGATTAAAATGAATAAAGTATAAGAAATCTTAAAAAAAAAAAACAAAACAAAAAGCCAAACAAACTGCAGTACTTCATTTTTCTTTAATATGAGTTACGCAATAAAAATTATAAATTTTATAGCATTATATTGAATATTAAAATAAAATTATTTATATTTTTTCTTAAAAAATTAAAAATCATTTAAAATTTGGAATTTTTTTTTTTAATTTTACAAAATTTGCATTGAAAACATGTGAGAAAATTTTTATGAAATTTATTATTTTTTCTCTTTTGCTAGGTTTACTTTTTTTTTTTTTTTGTGTTGATTAAATGAAAATTTCAACTTAATTACGTGGGAGATCAATTAAAAGAACTAAATATCCTCGGTTTTTTTTTTTTAAATGGAAAAATAAAAAAAGCATTATAGACTCGAAAATGAGATTTTTCTATTTGGTCATTTTCCTATATTGTCATTTTCCTATTTGGTTTTTTCTTCACTGGGTTTATCATAATAATATATAATTAAAATAATCAATGAATTGCAATTTTTGAGAGAAAAATTCTAATAAAATACATAATATTATCTTAAATATCATATACAAATATTTGCAATATCAAGTACATATTTACATTATTTGTCATTTTATCAACAGGTTCATATAAAATGTTTTATGAAATTTACACTAGCAAGTTTTATTGTACATGCAATCTTATTAGCTAATTAATTAATTTACATTAGGAATTATACATAAAAAAATGTATTTCCCTTTAAAATGAAAAATATTTCTTCTTTCTTGTATCACAAAACTTAAATATTGTAGTTGGATTTTATATAGGAAGAAATTTTTGGAAGATAATTATAAAAAAAATTATGTTTTTACTTCCAATTAAATTCCTTATTAGATTAATACGTAAATCATATTTAGTAGTTCACAAGATAAATAATATTTATTAAATGTTTAAACATTTTGGATTTTAAGCCTTTGTAATGTTTATTTATCATCGTGTTGAAGAATCATCTTTTTTATGTATATCTACTGCAACTGCCATGTTATGTTGAGAAATACTGTGCTGCATAGATGGCATGGGTTGTGGTCCACCTTTAATGTTTTGCGGATTTCCAGATTGTGGTGGTCCTACAACTGATTGTGACTGTGGAGTATTCGATATGACATTCATTGCACTTATTCTATGTTGCTGAGGTGCTTGCGAAGATCCACTAGGTGGTGGTACAGGACTTGGTTCTTTACCACGCATTGCTGCCGAATATGCTGCATGCATGCTTAGAGCTTTACGTTCCTCTTCTACTCGTATTACTTCCATCAGTGGATTATACCTTAGCATTTGACCATAAGGATCACGATATGGATCTAGCGACCATCCTGGATGTCCAGTTGGTGGACCAAAATGTGTTAATGGCGGCCCACCTATAGTAGGAGGCATCATAGATCTAGATAAATGAGGTGGAGGTGGCAAAACATGCGGACCATGTCGACCTGTCATAAACTGATGATGAGCTTGCGCTTGCGCTACAGCGAGAGCTGCTGACGAGGGGTGATATCTTGGATCGGCTGCTGCAGCCGCCGCTGCCGCCGCGGAACGCATTAAAAGTTCCTGATCTTCCTTTCTAGGCATTTCTTCCTTTATTCTAATGTCATTAGGATCAGTTCCATTTCTCAATGGAGATCTTTCTCGTGCTGCAGCAGCTGCAGCTTGTGCAGCCGCTAATTTTGTACTTTCATTTAATCGTTGCTGTTGCAACAATCGCTCCCTTTCGGCAATTTCTCTACGTTCGATTTCGCGCCTTTCTCGCTCTTTTCTCTCACGTTCTCTTTCTCTTGCTTCACGTTCTTGCTGTTCTCTTTTTAACTTTTCTTCTTTTTCTTTTCTTTCACGTTCTTCTCTTTCTCTTTGTCTTTGCCGTTCCCTTTCACGATGTTCGCGTTCGCGTATTTCCCGTTCTCGCTCCCTCTCTTCCGCTTCTCTTCTAACTGCATCGATTGTTGGATCTGGCTTTAGAGTAGGCCACGTAGGTTGCCCTGGAATTGGCGAATAGCCAGCAACAGTACGTGATAAACTCCTAAAAATTTTTTAAGTTACATTAGAATTTTCTTTTTGAAACATGTCCAAACTTACGATCTCCATGGGTCATGTAAAGGTGTTCCTATTGGAATATCACGGGCAAATGGTGATAAGGTAAACGGCGTTGAAAATGGGGGAGGTCCATATCTCGTAAACGGTGAAGCTGTAAAACAATATCATTATGTTATATTTCAAGTTGGAACATTAAAAATAAAATAGTTATATGTATAAAAAAAATTTTTTTACCTAAATGACTCGCACCAAAAAGAGTAGGGGGTAAAGGAGCCGTGTCATAAGGCGATCGTCCTGATAAGCTGCTTGGATATGCTGCAGATGGCAACTCGTGAGGTCTTGTTAAACTTGATAATTGCGTTGCTGACGAGGGGAACATATGTGTTGACGGCCGTAACATATCCATAGCAGATGATGAAGGTTTTAGTGAAGCTGCCGCAGCATTTAATGCCGATGATGATGCTGCAGGAGTGACAGCGGATGCACTTGAGGATTTATCAGTATTTTGCTTTTCATTTTGATCTTTATATATTTGCCACGCGATTCTTACATGCATAGCATTCCACCTTCCCGTTTTCTACAAAAATTACGTAGTTATAGTTTTATTTTCTTGAATATTTGAATTTTATTTACAATACTTAAAAAGATTTGTAGAATAATAAAATTTTAATGTGTTATTTATTAAAAAACAAAAACTAAGAATGAAAGTATGTATGTGAATATATGAAAAATAAAACCTACCATAATTTGTGGCTTAATAGGATCTGCGATGGGATTTTGTTGCTGTGGAAAATTTAAATTGATGAATTTAAATGAAAAATGAAATAATTTTTTATGACAAGGATTGAAAAATAGGTAATGTCTATTTGTGATTGTAGTAAGGTAATTGGAATTTAAATGCTTAGTTTTTACAAAAATATTGGCGACCAAAATTTAATGCGAAGTGAAATAAAAAAAATTAAAAAAACAAATCAAACGAGTAACTCCTGGATAAATTCTTTGTCACACAATTTTAAAATAAATAATCAAATTATTACCTTTGGCGCAAATGATGGTAAGTGACTTGGAGGTACGAACGGTGTTGGCCCCCCAAGTCCAGCAGGATGTAATAAGCTAGGGGAATATCCCGGATAAGTGGGAATTCCCAAACCAGTTCTGTAGAATGGAGAATCTACTGCTCCAATTTTGGGTAAATCCTTAAATAGTGGTGGAGGAAAAAGAGGAGCTGCAGTTGGTGGTGCTGCTGACAAAATTTGTTGATGTTGATGTAAATGTGTATGTTGGTGTTGATGATGATGTAGCTCTTGCCGAAGGTATGGTCCAGATTGAACCGCTAAACCCGATCTGTCTAAAAAACGAGAGTCCAACTCTCTTCTTAATAAATCTGCTTGATCCGCTAAAAAAAGGTTTGCTTTTAATTGTAGTTTGTTTTTCTAATATTGGATGAAATTATTTTAATATAACACTACAAAAATAACTCACTTTTATTATTCAACAATGATTCTGCAGAAAAAGGATGAGGTGCTGTTGTGGATGGTGCAGAACTAACAACAGGTGCAGTCGGAGGCAACGGCGTCGCAAATATTGTTTGTTGGTAACTTGAGTGAGATGTTGTTGTTGAAGTCGTTACCGTTGATGAAGATACTGGAGTAATGTTATGATGAGGAGATATAGATACACAACTTACAGGTGGTGGAGTTGGTCGAGTTACAGTATTTGTTACTACAGGTGGCGTGGTTGTAGCGCTAAAACAAAAATATGATTTAAATATTTACTATAAATTAAGAGAAAAATAGGTTGAAAATTGCAATAATTTTTTTTCAAAATGTTTTTACCTGCACCAACCGGAACTTTTGGTGAAATGAAGACTAGAATTTCCGCTTATTGCCGTAGATGGAAGAGGTGAAGAATTGCTTGTTCCGTGAGCACTTGTACTATATGGCAAAGATGGTGAAGGTCCTGTAGGTGCTGAACTGTAAGGTGCTCCGGTACTAGGCGTATTAGACGACCGTGATAAACTACTTACACTACTACTAAAATTATATGTATTTTTTTTTATATATTATTTGTAATATTATGTTTTAAATATTATTACCCATAGCTTTCTCTTTCACGGTTTGGACTATGACCTCTTGGTGAATGGGTTCTAGGTATCACAGACGATGACGATGATGTGTTTTGCGAAGTTGTAATAGGAGGAAAATGTGTGCTTGAAGCTTGCATTGGCTGAGAAGATTGTTGGTGTTGATGAATTTGAGAACGCTGAGATTGTGAATATTGAGTTGGCGTATGTTGTATTTGAGAATTATTTGCGTGATGTGAAGATGCGTGGTGATCTCTGAGACCAGGATTCAACTGCGGAATCCCTGACGGTGGCATATGCGACATTCCCATATTAATAGTTCCCGAATTATTTGCGTTATTAGCACCCATTGCGTTATTGCCAGCATTGTTATTTATACCCACCGGAACGTTAGAATTCACAATAGATGTGTTATTCGAAGGGGTTAAAGGTCTCAGGGTAGATTTAGAAATTAACGCAGATTCACTACGGGAATTATTTGAATTTGCTATACTCCGACTGTCTGCAGCCCTTGGCGAAGCACTTGGTGATGGCACTGAAGGTGGCAAATATGGATTATGTCTATAATCTCCGTATGGCGTATAAAGCGGATAACTAGGATATGAACCTCGATATACTGTTGAAGACAAATTGTTACCATTGTGCATTATAATGTTTTGTTGGTGTGAAGAATTTAATCCATCTTCGAAATTGGGACTTGGTTGAACCGTAGGTAAAGTGCAAGGATTGGATAACGTTCCATTGTTATTTATTTGAGTTGTTGGCAGTGAAATATCTAAATTATGCTGATGTAGCTGCCCTGGTGCTAAAAGCGGAACTGCATTTGCAGTTGATGTCAAACCACCAGCGGAACTAACAGCAACAGGTATAGAATTGCCTGGAACAGAACCATTTATAACAGAAGTTGTTGATATAATTTGATTGCTATTTGTAGATGGAGTAACTGCCATACAGGAATGAGGTGATGCTGATGAGATTCTTGAGCTTGTAATTGGATGTGATACTGTAATTGTTGAGGGTATGGATCCAGGAAAACCATTTGCTAAAGTACTTAAAGAAGAACAAGATAAATTAGATATTGATCCTACAAATGGCTGCTGCTGGTGATGTGTTGTTGAAATATTCAAAGCATTGGTAACGATTTGTTTGTTTGGGTTATTTATGTTAGCTGAAGATAGTGGCGCAGTATTATTTGTAATTGCTCCTGTTGTTAGCGCTAACGTGGCTGAAGTGTTTACAGGAGGTGCTATCGAAACTGTATGCGATGGATTAAAATGAGATGGCGGCAAATTTGCGGAAGTGTATGTACAAATTCCAGAATTGCTTATACAACTTGCGGTTGAGTTGTTCTGAATGAGTTTTGGTATATTATTATTGCTATTTGACTGAGATGATGCAGAAATCGGTGATTGTTGTGTAGTAACTGGACCATTTGAGATCTGGTTAAAAAAATATGTTATTAACTATAAGGCACGTACAAAATTGCAATAAAAAAAAGTTATAAAGTATAGAAAATCAAAATATTGCGCAATTTGTATTGCATTTTATACACTACCTGTGCCGGAAATGACAACGAAACATTTGGCGCGGATAAGGTTGCTGAAGTGGAATTAGGCGTGACGGTTGTACCAGGTACAGTACTTTGTGATACTACGGACACTGGACTTGTTTTTTCTCCTAGTGGCCCATTACTTATTGATAATCCAGTAATTTGCAGTTCGGATGATTTCCTAGGTGTTGTTGGACTTGTAATTTGCGTTGGCGGTGAAGGAAATACCACAGATCCTCCATCTGGGATCTGAAATCAAATGAAATATTTTAACTATTAAAAAAGGACAGAAAATTAGTTCTTAATCTGATACTAATATTTCATGCTCAATAATCAGAAACACGAAGGTTAATTAAACGATCTGTATAAAAGTTGGGTAAATGTTCTAAGGTAGGAATATTCAAATACAATCATAGATCTTAACTTCAAATTTTTAATCTGAACAAAATTTGGAATCCACATCTTGACATTCGTCTGATATTAATTTAAAAACTTCAACTTTAAATACTTATTTTGCATCAATAATTAAAAGTTTATTTATCTAAGCCAGACATGTCATTAAGTTGCTAAATATTAAAACAACATTAAAACGCCAGGATTATATTGAGTTTTTGCTGTATTGTTAAAAAAAATTTTTTTCCCCTAAGTTTAAAATGTCCGCACTCAGACAAGGTTGATCGCTTTTAAATTTGATTTAAAAGTACTTACGACAATATTTTAAATAAGCCTACAAAATTTAATTGCTAAATTGTATCAAAGCATAAATTTGTATTGATTAATTTCAATTTAAATACAACAATCAATCAGCAATCATACCACATAAGTCATTATTACCCGCATAATTTTAAAATTGAAAAAAAAAAATCTACAAAATTAAAATTAATACCTTGTTAATATCTTCTTGAGTTAATGATTGACTTGGCTCCTGATCAGAGACGACAATTTTTTTAGGGCTGTTTGGACCCGCAGTATCCTGCGGAGTACCAGACGGCTCAACTCGAACTATAATAGCAATTTTTACTTTTTATAATTGTCCCTCTGTTATTGATAAATAACAGAATTGGACAATTTTTCCTTATAAAGATTTAAAAATATATGTGTTTTTAGTTAATATATTATTAGGTAGCTAACTATATTATGGCTAGGATAAAACACTGTTATCTTTCCTTTTTTTGACAATAAATTAGAAAAATTTTTAATGTTTTTGTTTTATTAAATTATAATTTAATATTTTATAGCACTTCATGGTTTATATTTTCTAATTATTGAATTAATATCGTTCTAAATTTTCAAAAAGAATTAAGCATTAAAAAATGTTTACAAGTAGGCAATATATAACTATGTAAATATTAATACAGAAATATTATATGCATGTTTGTATATAAATTAAAAATTTGGTTTAAAATTAATAAACATTTAACCTAGTCATAAAACAAAAAGTCGATCTTGAATTCAAGTTAAGAATTCAAATAGGTACCTACCTACCTATAATTTTATTCCAAGTAAGAATATAAACGTATCTTTTTATTATTAAAAATTAAAAACTGAATAATCGCACCTTATTTGACTTTCTCTGGGTTTTGTATGTAAGAGAATAGATTAATTACATATAATACAATTATTTTGATAAAATTATCAATTTTTAAATGATTTCATGACAAAGCGGACTTTCGATAATTCAGGCATACACTAAGTAAAGATTCTAAATTAAATTTTAAAAATATTTTCACACATAAGTACTTAGAAATCTACAGAAATTGAATATTTTGCTTTTGGGGATTTGTAACATAGGTAGGTACTTACTCTAGTAATTCTTCAATATCCAACAATTTTTTATAGTACTATTCTTCTAACTTACAATATTTAATGCAGTAGTTATACAAAAAAAAACTTCAAAATTCCTTTGGAACTTCAAGTGCAATTGTCAATTTCGAATATTCTATTTTTGCAGTTTAGATTTATCGAATGTGCTTTATATTAAGACCTAAGATAGAATTGTAAGATACCTAACTAAAATAATTTTTTGAATTTTATAATTTAAAATTCTTCCTGAGAAATTTTGATAAATTTATGGAAAAATTTGGTAAATAAAGATTTTTTAAGAGAATGTAAAACAGATTAAGATTGCAAATTGTATCGAATCCACTATATTTAGAAATTTCAATTTTGTTTTCTCAAGAATTCTATTTGAAATCTTTCTCTTCGGCCATATTTGCATTAGTTATGTGTAAGATTTGATTTTAATTAGAAAATTAATTTTGAGAATTTGAAAAGAATAATGTAATTGAATATTGGGAGACACACGTGTGCTAACATACATATTGTATGAGTATACAAAGATAGCTAGGACCTACGTAACTACTTCGGTCTACCTTAAGAAATTATAAAAAATTTAAGTTTCAATAAATATAGTACTTACTATATTTAAATTAAAGGCTAATATTCTTGTAGACTTTTCATAATAACATTCTCTAATTCTTATAAGCATCTACCTACCTAAATATATATATAAATATATGTATACATATGCATACATACAGATGTATTTAAAGATATTATTGAATACATTCATGTAATATAACGCGTTTACAAAAAAAAAAAAAAAAAACAAAAAAGAAAGAAACAATCTTATAAGAGTACACAAAATATTTTTAAATGCAATTTCAAAATGTCGCATGGGTAGTAGCTAAGTATGTATGTAAGTTTTCTTTAAAAAAATAAAAAATAAAAATTAAATTGTGTAATATATGTATATACATAATATATGTAGCTCAGTATATATGCTACTTATAATTATTTACATATGCACATAGTTAGATACCAACATACATAATTCAATAATATTATATTTTCACTAAAAATTTATCATGGGTATATGTACATACATACATGCATATACAGGTATCCCTCGTATAACACGGCACTTGTATAACACGTTTTCGATATTACACGGTATAAAATTTGCGACTTTTTTAACACGATTTTCGATATTACACGGAAATTTTTTTTTAAATTTTGATATTCAACACAACAAAAATGGGATTTCCCCTAAAAATAATAACAAATACTTAAACATACAAAATACATTTCGTAATATGTACTTGAATAATTTATATTCTCTGTCAAGCCACTTGTGTTTTTCACTTTGATAAAGAAAGATCGTTCAAGTTTCAACTAACTAAAGGAAAATATTAATGTCAAATATTTTAATTAATTCTTATCTACATAATTAAAAGTGGTATTTATAAAAAATTAAATAAATAGAATAACGTTAATCCTTTATGTTTTGTTAAAGTATACATACAAAGTGAATAATAAAATAACTTTCTCTAGAGTGCTTGTCTTTGTATAAAACAATTTATAATAATTTCAATTCAAGGTAATATTATTCAAGCTTAAATGTCACAATTCGCACTTAATCTATATTTTATTTAACCTTAAATTTAGATAATGTCTGGCAAAATCAAAAAACAAATATTTAAACGAAAATTTATTTCCCTCGATACGAAAATAGAAATTTTGAATCGTAAACAGTCTGGAGAAAAAAACGCAACAATTGCGAAATCCTTAAATTTGAACGAATCTACTATTAGAACTATTTTAAAAAATGAAAGTCAAATCAGACAAAATGTGGCCGCTGGTTGCTCGCAAGGTGCAAAACGTGTGAGCAGAAAGCGAGATATAAATGTCGTAATTTAAAAGAGATCTCAGAAGTTGCTTGGGTCCTTATAGAGAAGTTTTGGCCCAGTTGCAATCTGATTTTGTAGCTGCTTCATCTGATGAAGAAATAACTAGTGACGAGGATTTTCAAGCAAATATGAAAAAAATTAATACTAAGTCACGGGTCATTTTTGATGACAGCGATGATTCAAATTAATCTAATGAAATTGTTTCATTACGATTTATACATTATGAATTTATATTTTTATTTTTGTTCGTTATTACTTATGATTGAATTTATTATTTATTTATATTAAAAAAATAAAGTTAATAAGTTTTTCATTAATTTTTTTATGAAATTTCAGATTTTCTAAAATTTACCTCTCGATATAACACGGAGCATGTTTTCGATATTACACGGAAAATACATTAGTTTTACAGTCTCGTTTAACACGGTTTCGATACAACACGGTTTTTATATAACACGGTCTCGATATTACACGGACAAAAAAATTTTCTTGAATTGATGTAATTACGTTATTTATTGTACCTAACAATATTATGTACATAATTTGTTATCTTTTTAAAAACCTCGTATACCACGGTTTCGATATAACACGGAACCAATTAACCGTGTTATACGAGGGATACCTGTATATGTAAATACAAAATATTACATACATAATTATTTTAAATAATATTTTTATTATTTTTTTAAAAATAATATCACCAAGTATAAAATTCACAAACAAATATTTTTTTTTTATGTTATTTTCATTCCTGTATATTTTTTATGTATATACATATATATAGGAGTATAAGTATATAGACACTTTTTTATTATTTAAGTTATATTACTCCATGAATCTTCATTATTAATAAATATGGGGTAGAAAATTTTTTTTATCCTTCTGCAGTAAAAAATAAATACATTCATTCATATATATATATATATAAATATGAATTATGGTTATATATATAAACTTTTATATACATATACTGTATATATGCTTATGTATGTACATTAAAAATAAAATAAACAATCGACAAGTTTTTTACACAGAAAAAAAAACAAAAAAATCATTGCACTTTATTGCCATTTTTCATCGATACTAGCTAGCTATTTTTTTTTAAAAGAAAATCTATTAAATTTTAAATACACTTATCCATATGTGTGTATATATGTACGTTTAAAAATTATTGTTGTATCCAATATGCATTCACAAGTCACATAATATGGCTACATGTTTATTAATTAAAAAAAAAAAAAAATCTATTTTTTTTTCTTCTTTTATATAAAATAATTAAGATAATTTTTCGGCTAACACTATAATTTATTGTGCAATAAGATCATTATTATTGTATGTAGTAAGTATGTGTTTTTCATAATTTTATTTTAAGAAAAAATTTATTTTTATTTTTATAATATGACTACACATCCGTCAAAAAAAAAAAATTTTTATTTTATTTTTTCTCTTATTTTTCTTTCGGTATATAAAAAAAAAAAAAAAAAATCTACACACTACTAGTTCCCGATTATAAAAAATTTTTTAACCAAACAACGTCGCATTCGCATCTATACTAAAACT